ACGTGGAGCCCCTCTACCACACGCTCTATGAGACGTTCGCGCTCGTGGATGAGCTGTACGACGCCGGCTTCGGTTTCCAGGCCGCCCTCACGAAGCTGTGGGCGATCATGGCCGTTGATCTCGCAGATACACAGGTAAGACGCGTGCACGAGTTGAAATACGCAACTTGCGAACATTCATACTGACGCTCCCAAGCACGTACACCCATGCTCACGCACACGTACTTTCACACACACGTACACATTCGGGCGCACACATACGCCCCCCTCCCATATGCTCTTGCATGCACGCAGCGTAATCACCCACCCGCCGACACTCACGACCTTACTGATATCTGTTCCTCACACTGCAGGTCCTCAAGTTTTCTCTGAAGGAATACAGCAGCTTCTTGGCAGACGCCCAGGAGGAGCTCTTGCAGGAGTATGGCGACCTCATCTCCTCCAGGAATATATCGATGGGTGCGTATGAAATTAATATATACAAAATGAAAGAAGCCATAAAGATTCATCACTATATTTTTTCTTATTAAAAAAATAATTTTCAATGTATCTTTCCGTCATAATGCGAAACGCTATTAGCGACCATGCGTTATTTTTTATTGATAAATTAATTATATGATCTGTGTGATTTACTAGTTCAAGACGAATTACTATGTTCAGTTACTGCGTCAGTGGTTTTGTTTTGTATTTATATTGTTACATTTTCGTGAGGAGACAGTATTACTAGATAAGTAATTTGAACTTTTCACATTTTCAATAGCGTACTTCAAGAAAGCAGTAGAAGGGTTCTCCCAAGCAGTAGACATGTTTATCGATGATCTTAGTCATCTGGACACCAGCAAGTGAGTGTACGACGGCCTTTATTCATGCGGAATATGCATCTTTCTTCAAACGCATATTTTTTGTGAAAATAGGTCAAGTGTTATGGTTATGTTAGGCTAATGAACATTTTAACGACGTCTTCCAATAGCGTGTTAGCAGTTCGGAGAGTTAATGATCAGCTGATGATGGTGGAACGGGCGTTCATCGACCCCCGAGGTCTTCCAGGCAGACCTGACTACAAGTGAGGGAGTCGCATTTTCTGTCCTGCTGCAGCTGATGTCTTTGCATGCTTTCCTTTGTTGTGAGGATTTCATATTCAAAATAATGACATTAAGATTGAATTAACAAGATCTCGGTTAATGTCTAGATTTTCTTTAGGTGCTATGTATGAAAAGCGTAATTACTCTTAATGTTCTCGTCCCAGCCACGTGGTGATGGCGCCAAGCATCAGCGACAGTTACTCGGGCACAGCTTTCTCCGGGCTGAGCGACGCCCTCGATGGCATCCAAGACCTGGACCCGGCGCAGCAGGAGCAGCGCTGGGTCACCTTCGCTCAGCACCTGGCCGCTGTCACTCACTACATCAGCACGGCCGCGAAGGTTCTCTCCGACGACCTGTGGTAGCGGGACAGCCCTGCGAGAGTGCTAGGCTTGGCTTGTCTTGCCTCGATCTCTGGCTGTGGCTTGAATGTTTTGATTTTTAACAGTTTTAGGGTGATAGGGGTGCATATTTCGGATGTACAACCAGTTGTGATAAAATATATATTTTTTATACATTTTATTGTCCTTTTATTCTATATAATAATGTATATTAATCTTTGTTTATGTTGTGGGTGTTTACTCTGGCGTCTTAATGATTCAGTAATGAGATATTCAATGCCTTTCTGATTTTACTTTTTCGATTTTTATTGGAATACTTTTACAGTTTAATAAGCACATATAAGTCTGCAGTCTGCTGTAGGTGGATAATGTATTACTACATATAACACACATGTAATGCTTCTCATTCGTTTGTAACTGCATGTATCTTACTTTTGCAGGAATTGTTAACCTGTTATTTCATTGGGTGAAGTAAGGCGACTGTAAGCCTTCCCTTTTCTGTGAAAAGATGACTATTTATTTAATCAAGATAACTAATAAATATCTAAAACATGTAATCAGTTGTTTGAAAAAAATCTTTGTGCACTCTTACGCAATGTAAAAATAAACTTTCTTTTATCTGAACTGTATCAGTACTTTGGAAAGATAAATCCTAATCATGCACATTCAGTTTCTCTCCTTTTATATACTAATGCGACACTGTTTTTCTCTCCTAGGACTTTTGCATGTTTTTCCAACAAAATTTCACGCATTTTCAGTTATGGTAAAGTATTTGCTATCTTGCCCCTGTCAAGAAAATATTACAAGGCCCCTATAACTCGTTCGTGACTGCTGCGATGGTCTTAGTAAGCCTCGATCAAATCCCTGCCGCGGTAGATGCAATAGCGGGGACAGGGTCAGTGGTAGAGCACTAGTTTTGCAATTGTGAGGTCCCGGGATCGCGCCTGGTCATCCTCTCAGTCAGCTCAGCTATGGTCGAGTACTGGCATTAACATGGGGTCAAAGCAGGCGGAAAGGGACTGGTTACCATACCGTATCTCGCGGTCTAGAATGAATATTCCTCTACAGACATGCCACGGCTATTCAGCAAGACTAACTGTCCGTAATATTTTTTATGTTTAGCTATTTCTGCCAACTGAACACTGGATTGCAAATGAGGACTCACACCTATCTGCATTTCCCTCATGGATTTAAATGTGCAAGCTATTTTCAGTTACGTGGTTTTCAGGCTCTAACTGAACTAAGGATTCTTTGATGTTAATCTGATTTTCAACCTTTATACTATCTCTCGCTTAGATTATATCTCGCATTCACTGTTCGTTAATTCCTGTCGTTGTTTTTCTTTTTCCTATCGCATTAAATTATAATGATGATTCTCGCTCCTGTCGTTTAATGGTGAGGGATCTAAGATTGGATGTTAATGGCGTTTGGTTATCTAGTATGTCTAATGTACTTATGTTTAATATAACTTTTGTAAAAATCTTGCAGCGTTTCTTTATTAGACTGTGAAATCCCAGATGGCAACAGTCTATGTTTACAGACAACTTGTGACATGCTGCTCCACCTAGGCTGTTTGCACGATCATGTTTCTGTATACTTACCACAGGTATCCACGCACACTGTATCATATAGTAGTATGTATGATAGATATTTAACTAGATATGATTCACAACGTTATTTGTGCCTTTTCCTGAGGAGCTCCGTGCCTATGCAGCACTTTGAGAGTTAAAGAACATTATTTTAGAAATTCAGTAATCGGGAGTATGCTCGCCAATGCAGAGTGTATAGTACTATGCTAGTCTTAGCTTCTTCAACCACCAAACTAATTTAAAATAAATTATCCAGGCACGCAATGGCTGTTTGCGGATTATGGATATGTTCTCGGAGGATCTCACAGTCATAGTTGGTAATGAAGTATAAGAGACGTAGTTAATGCACAAATTATAATAACCGTGATAAAGGTGATCAAATGGTGAAAGTGATAAGAATCATTATAAGGTCGATTACAATATAGATGGTAACAGTAATGATAACAAGAGTACAAAAGGATATGGTATCGATATAAAGTTAATGATGGGATTGCATAATTATTATATTAGTAGCTAATATTAAAATGATGTAAAAGAGTGATAACGATACTAATGGTACTAGTGATACTCAGGACAATAGTATTTATGGTAATGCAAAAGATGTTAAAGTTGATAAAAATTATCACTATTGTTATCAACAGTATTTATCATTAAGGACATGTTATATTAATCAGCGCAACAGTGTATATACAAAGGCATTTACAGTTGATAAATGAAGAGACAGAAATCATAATGATAACAAAACATAACCTCATGATTGAATTTTACTCACGGTAACTACATATAAAATTTGCCCTTTATTGTCACATATAAATATTGTCATTCAATATTAGGATGTAGGATTAAATTTACCATTTTGCTGAAATTTGAGTACTGCTGCAGTGGCAGTATTGTCGATCGGTAAACTCTATGACTACAGTATGTTTTCTTTAGTGCAGTACTATCCATTTCTTATACAAGTTTTCTGTAGGGAATTGCGACAAAAGAAAATGAATGGAAATCAAACTTGCGTCATGATTTCGATGTGCCGTAGGCATATTTGTAGTCTCCACCATGTACGCAGAAGCAGCTACAGCCATTAGCTAGTTAGAGACGACGAGTTTGGGCAACAGCACCGCATAAATCACAAGAACCAGGTGCAGACGAAACACCTGCGCAGGGCATGACGCTTTACTCGGTTATCACCTTGCAAGTTCTATGATGAACCTTTGAAAGAAATATTTGAAACGACCAGGAATAAAGCACAAATAGCTGCGCAACAGAAGTGCAAGCGGTTCGCATAAAAGATACAGCTGAGAAATAGAAGGGCGGGTGTTCAGCCACGACGTCTTGCTCTTACCTTTTGTGCTTTTTTGTGAATTTTTTTATTATTGTATCTTTTTGATGGTTATCTTCCGCCAGCAGTTTCGATGAATGGAAGTGTTTTAATAGAGAGCATTTGGAAGAACAACAAATACTGCACAAGGGGATGGCCTGAACGTGTTATATTATTACTATAAATTATTTGTTTTCAAGTCTATATAATTGTGCATTCCGAGTTATTTTATAAAAAACTCGCATATACATACGAAACAGTAATTCTTGCTCATACACGAAACAGTATATGTATGGGGGGGGGAGGGGCGAGGGAGGAGAGGGAGGGAGGGAGGGAGGAGGGAGGAGAGGAGGAGGGAGGAGGGAGGAAGAAGGGAGGAGGGAGGAAGAGGAAGGAAGGAAGGAAGGAAGGAAGGAGGAAGGAAGGAAGGAAGGAAGGAAGGAGGAGAGGGAAGGAGGAAGGAAAGGAGAGAGGGAGGAGAGGGAAGGAAGGAAAGATGGAAAAAAGGAGGGGAGGAGAATGAAAGAAAAAGAAAAAAAGAAAGTAAGAAAGAAAGAAAAGAAGGAAGAAAAGAAGGGAGGGAAATCGCACAAAATGTGCGCAAACTTTCCCATAGAAATTATACATCTGGTTCATAAAGAATAATAAAACGGTTTATATATTTATTAAATCCATTACAAATATTACAAAAATTAAAACAGGTTTACTTAAAATATACAGTAAAAATTAAAAACACTATCAAAATACTGTTTACCGTAAAACTAACCAAGATATAAAATATGCTACAGCTAATAGTTTCTTAATACTAATTTGTCATTGTTTCGTACTTATATATGAATTCACTATACTAAGCTCGATCACGGGTCTTGGAAACAGTTATAAATTCACTATTATCATCAGTCACATTAGATATATACATTCTACCAACACATCCAATGCATCATAATAATTTTGTTTTAAAATTGTCTAAAAGTTTGTATGCAATAATCTTTTAAAACGTTAAAATTGGTAAAAGATATATATATTACTGTGAATTTGCTTAAATATGAGGAAATACAACACAAAAACCTGGTGTGTAAAGGAAAAGCCCATAAAAAACGTAGTTATTACTTTCTTAAAGTCTTTAGCACTAAACACCAAATTTCGGAAGTCACCTGAGCCTGATAAAACTTACATGCTAAATATAATATATATTCTAAAATACAATTTTTGTCCTAATCTTGAAAAAAATCATTTAGAAGATGACGAGGACGACGACTGGAAACTTCTCCTAAGGAAGTTCATGGACCCGAGGTTTCTCAGGCGATTGAGAAGTTGTGCGTTCTCCCTCTGAAGAACTTCCAGATGCTGTCTTGGGAGGCCTTGGGCGTCGCCGCTCGAATAGCTCTCGTCGCGCACGACCGACACCTGCACGCCTGGGAAATGGAAAATATTACTAGATTTTTTGTGATCGTACTTGTTATTATTAACATTATTATTATTATTATTGCTTTTATTATTATCATTATTACCATTACTATTGTTGTTATTGCTGTAGTCGCTATTATCATGATAATTATCGTCATCATCATCATTATTATAATAATGATGATGATAATGATATTTATGATGGTATGATCGTGGAATGTTTGACGATTCATATCATATGGCCAACATATACTATACCTCTTTCTATTTGAATGATAGTTTGTTTAATAAACCAAGAAAATCGACAAAAAAATACAGGTACAGCCTCCATCCACATAAAGAAGGCAAACGCAATGATCCGCGCACATCTCAAAACGCAATAACATAATAGAAATCCCCAAACATACTCCCTGCAGCTTCACTCGCAGCCTCGTCGTCCATAAGGCTCTGCTCTGGGGAATCCTGGATGGTCTTGTCTTCCCCGACGCTGTGGCCCTCCAGCAGCAGGAGGCCTTCGCTAGTCTCGCTGCACTCCACTTCTCCTTCAGATCGTTGCATCAGGCTCTCGTGGTAGCGGCACAGGCCCTAGAACACGTGAGATTATAGGCGTAAGGATTGGATTTTCTTCTGGATAAGATATGGTATGATAACGATTGGGGATACGTCTGATATACTTTTTTCCCCTGTGGACTTTACACATATTTTTAACCTTTTACAGTAATAACACGTAAACTAGAATATACCGAAAGTGTCAAATGGAACTTATGCCCTTCCTAAAGTGACATCTTGTGCAAAACTACTTACACTTTTTTGCATCTTTATGGCTCCTTTCTGCAATGTGCCGCTCTTGGCAGCGGTCAAGAGGCACATGCAGTCGGGCTTTGCCACTTCCCCGGCTTCCAAAGAGAGGCTGACGGAACTGGTCGGTCCCCCAAGGATTTCGCCGTCAGAGACGCTTATTCCGGTCATGTCAACAGCCTGAAGTGAAAAGGAGGAAAAATAAGAAAAATGTGTGTAAAAGTAATTAAATCAATGTAACTATGACGAACAAAGCTCAGGAATTTCGTAGTTTATTTTCCATACCAAGGCCATGCAACATAAGGCTAAAAAACATTTCTTGCGTCAACGTAAAAGGTAAATCTCCAACCGTACCTCAACAGATGAATTGCACACAACAGACGGCGTCTCTGGTGATAACAGATCCACGCTGACATTGGCATACTCGATTTGGATATCCTCATCACTAAATTTTCTCTCACTGATCTTGGGCGGCGTGAGCTGCCGTATTTCGGGATCCTGTGGAGGCGAGACTCTCGTGCGAAACTCTTCTGCCTGACGATAGGAAGTGTCTGAAGGAGGCAGAAAGGCATCGCCAGGAGGAGGACAAGGAACTGGAGACGGAACAGACGGCGTCGGGGTGTCAGGGACGGCGACGACACGCGAGGGCGACTTCCTTGGCGACGGAGATTGCGACGGCGTGTGTGCGGAGCGGCCTGAGCGGTGGGTGAGGACGGGCGACTGGGCGGGAGTGACGACTGAGCCGCCTTCCGGTCCCTTGCGCTGCGGGGAAGTCTCCGGCGACTGCGAGGGAGTTACTGCTGTCTGGCGTTTGGCTGGAGATGGGACTGGCGTCGGGGATGGAGTGTGCGCCGCGTGGGGGAGGTCTTCTCGGAGCGCCTGTTTGCGCGGAGGCGAAGACGTGGGCGTTGGAAGAAACTCCGGCACATTTTCGTCGTCTGAAGTTTCTTGAGAGAGCTGGGGCGTTGGTT